TTTGCCAGTACCATGCTGTTTTTAATCACAGTGGCTTTGTAGTATAGTTTCAGATTGGAAATTGTTATACCCGCTGCCATGTGTCTGTTGCCTAGTATGGCTTTTGCTATTCTAGGTATCTTCTGGTTCCAAATTACTTTTTGGATTCTTTTTTCTAGTTCTGTGAAATGTAGTGTTGGAATTTTAATTGGCATTGCATGGAATCTGTATAGCAGTTTTGGAAGTATGGCCATTTTCACTATGTTGATTCTTCCTACCCAGGAGCAGGGGATATCTTTCCATTTTCTTATATCTTCTTCAATCTCTTTTTTCAGAGTGCTGTAGTTTTCAGTGTAGAGATCTTTTGCTTCTTTCGTTTGATTCCTGATACTTCATTTTTTTGGATGCTATTGTGAAGGGAATTGTTTCCCTAATTTCTCTCTCAGTGAGTCTGTTATTTGTGTATAAGAAGGCTATTGATTTTTGGTTGTTCACCTTGTATCCAGGTACTCTACTGAATCTGTCAATTAAGTCTAGAAGTCTTTTGGTGGAATTTTTTGGGTCTTCAATGTAGAGTATCATATCATCAGCCAATAATGACAGTTTAACTTCTTCCCTTCCTATCTTTATTGCTTTAATTTCTTTCTCTTGTCTGATTGCTGTGGCTAATGTTCCTAGAACCATATCGAAGAGGAGTGGTGATAGTGGGCATCCTTGTGTTGTTCCTGATTTTGACATGAAGGTTTTGAGTTTTTGGCCATTTAATATGATGTTGGCTGTTGGTTTTTCATAGATAGCCTTTATTAAGTTGAGGTATAGACCATCTATTCCAATTTTTTGTAGGGTTTTTATCAGGAATGGTGTTAAATTTTATCAAATGCTTTTCTGCATCTATTGAGAGGATCATATGGTTTTTGTCCTTGACTTTGCTAATATAATGTATTACATTTATTGACTTTCATATGTTGAACCATCCTTGCATCCCTGGAATAAATCTGACTTGGTCACGATGTATGATCTTCTTGATAATCCTCTGCATTCTGTTTGCTAGTATCTTATTAAGGCTTTTTGCATCTATATTCATTAAGGAGATTGGCCTGTAATTAGTTGCATCTTTCCCTGGTTTGGGAATCAAAGTGAACTTGCTTCCGGTAATGAATTTGGAAGTATAGCTTTCCTTTCAATTTCATTGAAAAGTTTGAAGAGTAATGGCAGTAAGTTTGCTAGTTAAGGCTTTTTGCATCTATATTCATTAAGGAGATTGGCCTGTAATTAGTTGCATCTTTCCCTGGTTTGGGAATCAAAGTGAACTTGCTTCCGGTAATGAATTTGGAAGTATAGCTTTCCTCTTTCCTTT